AATAGACACGAATTTCGAATAGGCAGATATTATTGCCACATATTCCTTTTTTTTTTTTTATCTTCTTTGTTTGTAATATTGGATGGATTACATGAAAAGGGGGTAATCCAGGTATTGCCAGCCTTAAACACGAGAAGGACTCACCAGCTCACGAGAGTTACCGAGTTACTGAAACGTTACCAGCATGAGAGAGACGACGCAAGATGCCATTCTTTTGTTTTGTTTTCCGCTTCCGAGTTCGCGCCAAAAAAAAAAAAAAACCGTTGGGATGGTGACGTCATAGATGGGGCTAGGGTCGTGGTGTGCTGTTTGCTTGTTTTCGTTTTTTTTTATATTTTTTTTTTTTGGTTTTAGGATTTTTTTATGGTTATCTGGAAATTTAAATTTACCGTTTATTAGGAACGCGTTCGATCTCGTATGAATCTTTTGAATTTTTGTTTTTCTTGTTATTTTTTCTTTCTTTCTTTCATTTTCATTGACGCGAAGCAATGGACGGTATTTTTTTTTCTTTCTTTCTTTCTCCTTCATTGAAAACATCACTCAAATGCGAACATAACATGTGTACATTCATGTGCATTTTCTTTTCTTTTTTACGTGTATGTTTTACCAATCTCTCTTTTATCTCTTAAGTATATTTTTCCAAGGTGATAAGCTGATATTTTCACCGACATCCATTTTTTTGTCTTCCAACTACAAGATGCATGAATGAGTAAGCAATTAATGAAAGGATATTCACATCCTTGTCGAATTAGTAATTACCAATATTATCCTCATTATTATCATAATTATCATCACCATCATCACTATTTTACCAGTACCAAAAGCATTATCATTATTATCGGTATTATCATTATTATTATGATATTATCATTATTATATTATGATATTATATTATTATATTATGATATTATTATGATCATCACTCATACAGCTCGAGGAAGAAGGTAATTTTCTTTTTTCTTTTTCTTTTTTCTTCGGTGAGTTTTCCCGCGCAAAAAAAAAGTAGCACTAACATGTACATGGAAAATAACATATCATTTTGAAAAAACACGAGAACACCAACATCCACACAGCTACAAGCATGCAAAAAAATAATGTAGCTTTACTTCCTTTGTGTTTTAAGTAGATAAAAGATACCAGTTTTGTTTCTCTTGTAATTATTTCTTTTTTAAACATATGTTACAACAGATGAATCAGCTGTTTTAGCAACGACATTACACAGGTCATTAACAATGAGCACGAAGCATTACCTAGAATATATCACAACCATATTATAGTGTCTGAAACACATTCAGGAAAACACAACATGTCTGTCTATACGGAAACTCCACATAAGAAACCACATGAATAACTGTCATTCCACCAATATATCGATCTTATAAATGAAGAAAAAATGACAATGAAGACATTTACGGACATACGGTTTATTACAGTGAGTCACACATTGATATATCTTAAAATACCATCGATTTATAAATTAGCTTTAGGGTCCTTAAAAGCGCAACAATAAATTCTTTCTCTTTTGTTTTATAAACGCTATGAATTTTCAATAAACGTCTGGAGACACTGGAAGAGGATTAAATGCCTTCTTTAAGAGGGTGGGATGGATATATGTTTAGTCTTTTGTTATTGCTAGACGAAGTGTCCTGTTCCGATCCTCCTAATTAACATCAACAACCTATAAATAATGGTAGTTACGAGTCCTAATGCCTATAACAAAATTGCGCTGAGCACGTCTGGCTAACGGAATTTCGAAGAATGATTAATAATGATAATGACAATTATTTACATTTCCTAAACCATGCCTCGAACTTTACCCATAATGTCTCCCTATCTCTTTTTTTTCCTCCGCATGTCCTCTATAGCCAGTTCTCGCTCAAGAGTAGCAATTGCGGTTGTAACAATTAACAGTCTTTTATTAACGATTTCCGTTGTTCCTCATCCATATGATAATAGACGACTAACATTCATCCTTAAACCTAGATAAGCAGTCAATAAGCAACACTCAACAAGGTACACAGACTCTAAATGTAATACGATACATATAACTGTAGAGATACCTACATACTTTCTCATATATATATATATATATATATATATATATATATATATATATATGTATGTATATATATATATATATATATATATATATATATATATATGTATGTATATATATACATATATACATATTCATGTATATATATACATGAATGCCTACAAGTATGTATGTATGTACCTGTGTATATGCATGTATTGTGTATATACACATACAAATACTGTATACATGTATATGCTTATAAATATGCATATGTACGTATGCATGTATGAATATGTTTACATTTACGTGTGTTTTTACACTGTATGTGTGTGTTGTAATGTATGTGTATGTATATATCATATATATAGATATATATACATAATTATATATATGTATATATATGCATATATATATATACATAATTATATTTGTATATATGTATGTGTGTATATATATATATGTATGTATATGTATGTATATGTGCTCATGTATGTATTTGGTTTTATTGTACCAAATGCCTTTACAGTGAGATTCTAGATTACAATCTGTGATCGTGACAGCTTCCTACAATACAGTGTACTATGTTACCTTATAAATCTAATTCTTGTCCCATCAATAATGAACTTGCCCATTTACACAGGTGCGGTATGTAGGCCTTGGACATGTGGTTTTTCTGCATTATCCTGTTTGTTTGTTTGTGTTTGTGTGTTGTGTGTTTTGTGTTTGTGTGTGTGTGTGTGTGTGTGTGTGTGTGTGTTGTGTGTGTGTGTGTTGTGTGTGTGTGTGTGTGTGTGTGTGTGTGTGTGTGTGTGTGTGTGTGTGTGTGTGTGTGTGTGTGTGTGCGTGTGTGATGCCTTTTTTTAACTCTCGAGAATTGATTAGATCATCTTAACAAAACAACATATGAATCATATACTTTTCATTCGTCTTTTTCCAAACCACTCTCTACGAACACTTGTTTCCTAACTTTCTACCACTTAAATTTCGTATGACAGCTGTTCAAACGTATTTGGAATGCGAAAATATCAAACAAATTCTTAACCAATAGTGGATGATCACTGGATCGAATAAATCATTAGTTTAAATAGATAAAGATTAATAAGGAAAAAATAAATCTGATTTGTGTGCAATAGAGTGCTCAGACATAACCCTCAGTGTTCTAGAAGCCTCTTTAATTGTCTATGGAATTGTCATAACAAAATTATTTCTCTCCAACAACGAAACATGTTTTACGCAAGATTATAGTAATATAGGGATCCTGTATGTAAATGGTGACGTAGGAATTATATTTCAATCTAATTATTGAAATTACTTCTCTCGACGAAACAAAACATGTTTTACGCAAGATTATAGTAACATAGGGATCATGTATGTAAAAAATGATATAGGAATTATATTTCAATCTAATTATTGAAATTACTTCTCTCGACGAAATACATGTTTTACGCAAGATTATAGTAACATAGGGATCCTGTATGTAAATGATGATGTAAGAATTATATTTCAATCTAATTATTTACCTTCAGTGTCCGATATATGTGCATTCTCTTCTGCGAATACTATATATGCAGTTTAAAAGTAATTTATGTAGTCTAGATTACAGTATATATCTATATCCCTGATTTCACATATGAGTTTAATGTCATGCTGTGACGAATGATCTTATAACGGAAACATCAGCTCTGTTATACGTGCATGATGTGTGTGTGTGTGTGTGTGTGTGTGTGTGTGTGTGTGTGTGTGTGTGTGTGTGTGTGAGAGAGAGAGAGAGAGAGAGAGAGAGAGAGAGAGAGAGAGAGAGAGAGAGAGAGAGAGAGAGAGAGAGAGTATGTGTGTGTTTGTGTGTGTGTGTGTGTGTGTGTGTGTGTGTGTGTGTGTGTGTGTGTGTGCGTGCGTGGTGTGTGTGTGTGTGTGTGTGTGTGTGTGTGTGTGTGTGTGTGTAGTATATATGTACTCGGTAGCGGCAAAATGATATGATTGTTATACACATTTTTGGTGATAAGGGATGAGGTGAAGATCAATTGTTATGCACAACTGAAATTTACTTCGAAGTCTTAGAAATTGAATAGAATATTTAATTGATTAACGTTTTCTTGTTATCTAACATAATGCTGTACATTCACCGCATATGCGTGAGTGTTTTACCATAAAATTCCAAATTACCTAGACAACAACCTAAATTAAAGGGCATTTGGTCCTTTCATGCAGAAAATACTCATCAAAATACTCTCTAATGAGGTATGAAAAGTCGTTAGAACTTTAGAATCACCGGCATCTTTTTCGCGCCAATCACCTGCAAATCGAGCTCTCAACTCGAGCTTAAAATCATCGAGCTTAAAAATCATTCCTCGAGCTTAAAAATCTTTCCTCAACGTGTCTCAATCTACCCGCAATATTATGTAAATACATGTAACTATTTTACGCTCGTTGCGTCACTGGAACTGGAAAGAAAAGGGAAATTTGAATTGGTCCTCGCGAGAGCAACCCTCTGATTGGCCAGTAAGCAAACCGACGCTGTGCGCTCATTGGTCGGAATGTCTAAGCACGAACACCCTACACTTTCCTTCCAACTAATACGAATAATACAGTTTTTAGAAAATGAATCATGTTTCTTTCATATTTTTCAATGTCGAAATGCTGTCTTTTCATTCTATCCTTCTTTCATTCCTTATTTATTATTTTGTTTTCGTCTATGCGATCCTACTCTACGCGCGAAGCCAACCGTCAAAGCGTCCACTACAAAAACGGGGAATTTTATCTCAATGTTCCTTTAATTTGCTACAAAAATAACCAGCGTTTACTTACTACGCGCCCTCATCGCACAAAGGAACCTGTATTCTTTTTGCTGTTGTTTAGGTTGAGTATAAGGAGAAAATTAGGAAGATAAGGAAATGGAAATGAGGTACGAAAGACTAAAAGACTCTCATAATCCGAATGTAATATCATCTTTTGAAGAATAAAAACGAGAATTGAAAACTCGACAAGGGAGAAGAAGACTTAAAAAATGAAAAAAAACTGAAGACGGTTTGTTTTTCTTCCTCCTCTTTCCTTCGTTCTATGAATTGACCAGAGGGAGCGGAGGGAGAGGAAGAAAATAGGTAAGGAATTTGAGAGAAGTCCATCGTCCACGAGGGAAAGTGTAGCTAGCGGATAACGAGACATAGCGTGTGGTATTAGGAGCTACGGACATCGACATTTTTTTTTAATCCAGGGAATTTCACCAAATCTGTCAGACAGGTGGAACTAGCTAGGCACAGGACATTGTTGTCTATAGAGGTCTATCATGATAAAATTCTCTTCTCCTTTCTTCTTCTTCGTCTTCTATTGGTCTGTGATCTTCGAAGATCTTCCCAATGCATGAATACATGTTTTTTTTTCATCTTAAAGTCTAAAAACTGAGCTATTTTCATCTACATTTGCTTACCAGACGATGTAGGGGGAAGGGGAACAAATGCAGCTTTCCTAACTACTTCAAAGTCTTCAAGTCACGCTGGACTTGTGTACTAAAAAGGTTCATTCATTTGCATTGGGTCACATTTATTGCCTTCTATGTTTTATATGTTTGTTTGTTTTTTTAAAGTTTTGTTGTTATTGTTTTGTTTGTTTGTTTGTTTTTGGGTTCGTCAGCTACTCGCCGGAGCACACGTTACCCCCTTCACAGCTTCGTCTGGTCCTGCTTCTTCGGCGACGTGATGGGCGGCGGGGAGATGATCTCGCCCACCAGCCGCTTCTTGACCTTGCCGTCGGGCGTCGCTGTCGTGGGCGCCGGGATGTCCTCGTCGCTGTCGGAGCCCAGACTGAGCGCCGGGTTGACGCGGCCGTTCATCTCATCCGTGGCGTTGTACTTGACCACCGAGTGACACGCCATCACGGTCATCTCGCCCTCGTGCGGATCGCCGACCGTCTGCACGTCCTCGGGGATGTTGACGACGCACCGGAGGAAGTCGTACTTGGGGGCCAGCGTGCCCGAGAAGAACACCCAGTTGGAGAACCACGAGAAGAACACCAGCGTGGACCCGGACAGGACCATGGCCAGCGTACGGAAGGGGAACAGCTGCGTCCCGGATTCCTCGTCGTACATCGGGTATCTGCAACGGACACGGACGCCGCGAGCTCAGCATCGGGCTCGGGAGGGGGGGGGGGGGAGTGGGAGGGGCGGGGGTGTGTGAGGGGAGGGGGAGGCGTGGGGTGGGGTGTGAAGGGGAGGGGAGGGCGGGGTGGGGTGTGAGGGGGAGGGGGGGCGGGGTGGGGGGTGGGGGGTGAGGCGGGGTGGGGAGGGGAGGGGGAGGGGGGGTGGGGTGGAAGGGAGGGGAGGGCGGGGGGGGGTGTGTGAAGGGGAGGGGGAGGGTGGGGTGTGAAGGGAGGGGGAGAGGGGAGGTGGGGTGTGAAGGGGAGGGGGAGGGGCGGGGTGTGAAGGGAGGGGGGGGTGTGGGGTGTGAGGGGGAGGGGAGGGGCGGGGTGGGGTGTGAAGGGGAGGGGGAGGGAGAGAGGCGAGGGTGGGGGTGTGACGGGGAGAGGGAGGGGCGGGGTGGGGTATGAGGGGAGGGGGAGGCGTGGGTGGGTGTGAAGGGAGGGGAGGGGCGGGGTGGGGTGTGAGGGAGGGAGAGAGGCGGGGTGGGGTGTGAGGGAGGGGGAGGCGTGGGGTGGGGTGTGAGGGGGAGGGGAGGGGGGTGGGGTGTGAAGGGGAGGGAGGGAGGCGGGGTGGGGTGTGAAGGGAGTGGGGAGGGGCGGGATGGGGTGTGGGAGGGGAGGGGCGGGGTGGGGTGTGAGGGGGAGGGGCGGGTGGGGTGTGAGGGGAGGGGAAGGGGGGGTGGGGTGTGAGGGGAGGGGAGGGGGGGGGGGTGGGGGGGAGGGAGGGGGACGGATGGGGCGGGGTGGGGTGTGAGGGGGGATCATGAGGATGGTGATGATTTTGTGATAATATTGATAATGATGATGAGATGATCATGATAACACTTATCTATTATAAGGCTAGCGGGATGGGGGGTGGGGGGGTGGGGGGGTCATGGGGGTGATTGTAGCGATAGTGTTGATAGTGATGATATGATGATAGCACTTATTTATTATAAGGATAACAAGAACTACAACAAGAATAATACTATTTATATCTACATACCCCCGGGGAATAACACAACCCTATTACTACAAATACTACTATTAGTAACTAAGATAGATGATATAACATTAATAAGGATTAAAAAAAAACAGAAACAACAATAATAACAAACCAGTAATGACAATAAAAAATCATAAAGTACTACGGAAATAATGATACAACAGCGATTGTGATGATAAAGGATGATAAAGAGAGAATTAACAATAAAATACACACCAAGAACAAATAATGATAATAGTAATCATCATTATCATCGTCATTATCATCATCATCAACATCATTATAATGGTAATGATGAGGTTGATAATAATAATAAAAATCATAATAACAATAATGATGATGATAATAAATGATATATAATGATAGTGATGATGATAATAATAATAATAATAATAATAATAATAATAATAATAATAATAAGTAAAAAAATAATGATAATGATTATAATAATAAAAATGATAATAAGAGTGATGATAATAATAACAATGATAATCATAATGATAATAATAACAATAATGTTAATAGCAACAACAATAATAATAGTAAAATAAACAACAAAATCATAAAAAGAATGAAACGTGACAATGAAAATAATAATGATAATGATAATGCCAATAATAATAACATTATCAACGGTAATAACAACGATAACCAAAAATGATAATGATGATAAGAATAATAACAATAACAAAGATGACAACAACAGCAATCATGATAACAGTAACAATAAAGAATAGAAAAAATAATGATACCAATAATAAAGCCACGCAGCCACCCAATCCCGCGCAAAAAACAACAACAAAAAACAACCGAAATCTGCATGCAAACCTAATCTCCCAATCACCTAATCAGTCCTTACTTGATTAGAAAAAGGGTCCCAATCATTTATTCTCCCCCTAAGATTCTAATTGAATTTACGCGAGATCTACATGCAACCCAATCACCTAATCGGTCTTTACTTGATTAGAAATGGGGTCCCAATCATCTCTCTCCCTCCCCCCCCCCCATGACTCCGACGTAATAAACCCGAATCGCATAGCATCCTATTCCCCCCCCCCCAGTTAACCCCAATCACCTATTCGACCATTACCTAATCACTAAACCCAACAACCCATACATTCCAATCACCCAATCGCCCTTTTCCTAATCAATAAACCAACAACCACATGCAACCAATTTAACCAACAACCATCACCCAAATCGCCCCTTTTCCTAATCAATAAACCCCAACAACCACATGCAACCAATTTAACCCAACAACCCAATCACCCAATCACCCCTTTTCCTAATCAATAACCCCAATCACACCAATCGGTCCTTACTTGATCAGAGGCGGGATCCCAATCATCTGCTCTCCGCCCAGGAAACGGACGAGCACGCCCACGATGTACGCCCCCAGAGAGCCGTAGAGGTTACAGTGGTTCTTGAAGTGAACCACCATCAGGAGTTGGGGGAAGAGGATGACATACACGAGGTCCGACGAGAGGTACCTGTTGGGGGAGGAGAAGAAGGGGGTTGTGAGGGCCTGGGGAGTGGGGTGGATGGATGGATGTGTGTGTGGGTGGGTGGGTGTGTGTGCGTGTGTGTGGGTGTGTGTGTGTGGGGGGGGGTGGTGGATGGATGTGTGTGTGTGTGTGGTGGGGGTGGGGGTGTGTGTGTGTGTGAATGTGTGTGTGTTTGTGTGTGTGTGTGTGTGTGTGTGTGTGTGTGTGTGTGTGTGCGTGTGTGTGTGTGTGTGTGTGTGCATATATGTATATATATATGTGTATGTGTGAATGTGCATGCGTTTATGTCTATCTGCATGTATACATATACGTGTGATTGCGCATATATAAGCATGTACGCATGTATGTAAGTCTTTTCTCCGCGTGTGTCATCACCAAACGCCAATCGACCCAAGGAAAGCAACTCACCATAGACCGTAGATCGAAGGGATGGTGAGGGCGAGCGTCGTGGCCAAGAAACCCACGATAAAGATGGCGAACTTCATAACCCAGATGACTTCCGTTTCGCTAGCCTGTGAGGAGAGAGACAAAGAAAGCAATGTCGGAGTTATTTTTTCCCTTCTTTCTGTCTTTCTTTTTTTTATTTTATTTGTTTTGTTTTTTTTTTTTATTGTATATATATTTTTTTGTCTCTCTTTCATTCTCGTCCTTTTTTTTTTTTTACTTTTTTTTCTTTCTCACTACCATTGTCATTTTTTTTTTTTTTTTTTCGAGGATTCTCGTTATTCCCTTCCGTTATCGGTCTTTATCTCTGTTTCCCTTTTGCTTTTTGATACAAGATACGGCTAACCCCCCCCCCTGGCCCCCCCCCCCCCGACCCTCACAAGGAAGGCCAAAGTATTTTTCCATCTCCATTTACGAGCTCCTTTGGTCTCCTTCCTTCAGATTATCGTTTCCTCTTCGCTCTTTGTCTGTCTTTCCGTCTATCTATCTGTCTGTCTGTCTTTCTGTCTATTTATTTATCTGCCTAGCTATCTCTCTCTCTCTCTCTCTTTTCTCTCTCTTCTCTCTCTCTCTCTATTATCTATCTATCTATCTATCTATCTATCTAATCTATCTCTATCTATCTATCTTCTTTCTTTCTTTCTTTCTTCTTTCTTTCTTTCTTTCTTTCTTTCTTTCTCTCTCTCTCTCTCTCTCTCTCTCTCTCTCTCTCTCTCTCTCTCTCTCTCTCTCTCTCCTTGCACTTAGTACTCTACATATCATTTCATCCTTCAATCATCCTTCACACCGCCTCCCGTACTCACATTCTGGCGGAAGATGAGCTTCCAGATGTTTCTCGAGAACATGGAGGCGGCGGAGAGCACGGAGGAGTCGGCGCTGCTCATGACGGCGGCTGAGATGGCGCCCAGGCCGATGAAGGAGACGAAGCTGGGCGTGAGGTACTGGATGACCAAGGGGAGGATCATGGCCGTGTTTTCGCTGGTGATGCAGGCGTCGGGGGCCTCGCACTCGAAGTCGGTTTCGTTCCAGGCTGCGGGAGGCGAGGCGAGGGGGAGAGAGAGAGAGGGAAGGGGGGGGGTGTTAGGATTCGCTGAGAAATATTGGCTTTAAGGTGTTTTTTAAGGTTTTTGTAAGGTTGTTGGGTAGAGGAAAGTGGTGTTGGAAAAGAGGCGTTAGGATTCGCTGAGAAATATTGGCTTTAAGGCGTTTCATAGGTAGAGGAAGGGGGTTGTTAGGATTCGCTGAGAGATTTGTTTTTAAGAAGGCGTTTCATGGAAGGGAAGAGGTAGGATTCGCTAAGAAATATCGGTTTTTGAGAAGGTGTTTCTTGGGTAGAGGAAAGTGGTGTTGGAAAAGAGGTGTTAGGATTCGCTGAGAAATATTGGTTTTAAGGCGTTTCATGGGTAGAGGAAAGAGGTGTTAGAATTCGCTAAGAAATATTGTTTTTAAGAAGGTGTTTCTTAGGTAGAGGAAGGAGGTGTTAGGATTCGCTGAGAAATATTGTTTTTAAGGTGTTTCATGGGTAGAGGAAGGGGGTGTTAGGATTCGCTGAGAGATTTGTTTTTTAAAGAAGGCGTTTCATGGGTAGAGGAAAAAGGTGTCTGGATTCGCTAAGAAATATTGTTTTTAAGAAGGTATTTCATAGGTAGAGAAAAAAGAGGAATTAGTATTCACTGAGAGCTTTGTTTTTTTAAGAAGGCGTTTCATAGGCAGAGGAAGGAGGTGTTGGAAAAGAGGTGTTAGAGTTCGCTGAGAGATTTGTTTTTTAAAGAAGGCTTTGCATGGAAGGGTTTTAGGGGTAAGGAAACAAGTAAGGCGTCTAAGAGTCAAGGAGGAAAGAGGAAAGAGTTGTTAGGATTCGCCAAGAGCTTTGTTTTTTAAGAAGGCATCTCATAGGAAGGGTTTTGATGGCAAGGAAAAGAGGTAGGGTGTCTTAAAGTCAATGGAACGTCTTAATATTCCTGACGTGTTTTATAAGAAAAGGGGGAAGGGGATTAGACATAAATGGAGAGTTGAAAAAATAGTAGAAAGAGTTGAAGAAAATTATGTTAGGTTGGTGGAGTGTTTGTTATGAAAGGTCCTTTGTGATTCAAGGGAAACCACACGAGAAAGAAGTTGACCTAAACCATCTATAGACACGTAGCTTCATCTCTTTCATAATCTATCCACTTCTGTGCCTTTCCCATTATCATCATAAACCTACAAACCTGTATAAAAAAGTTAATGCTGATATCTATCATCATAAAAAGAATACCACTCATTTTGTTTTTTTCCTATTTTTTTCCTATCCACTTTGTCTTTTTTCCCCTATTTTTCCTTCTTGTTTCCCTGAAGATTTTAATGAACCTTACCTGTGGCCTTAGCGATGGCACCGATCATGACAGGTGGCACTGCCATGATGAGGCAACCGAACGCTGCCACGTAGGAGAGGAGCTGTGCCTTGTGACCCGACTTGCTGGAGAGAACACGCTGGAAGTACACCTGGAAGAGAAGAACAATCCATCCAAAAATCAGTTCACAAATCCTCTTTAAAGATTATTGATACTACGTTTCGAACATATATTAAGCAATCCTTTTAATGTAATATACGACTGATAAATACACGTAGAGGAGAACAACACACGCCATTCAAATTGCTCAAATCCTCTTTAAAAAAAAAAATTTAATACTAATACTCGCACATATATCAAGCAATCCTTCAAACGTAAATATACAACCACTGAGATTCTTTCCAACTCTCTCTTTCTCTTTTTCTTTCTTTCTTTCTCTCTCTCTCTCTCCTCCCTCCCTCTCCCTCCCTCCCTCCCTCCCTCCCTCTTTCTCCTCCCCCTCTCTTCCCTCCCTCTCCCTCCCCCCTCTCTCCCCCTCTCCCTCCCCTCTCCCTCCCCCTCTCCCTCCCTCTCTCTCTCTCTCTCTCTCTCTCTCTCTCTCGGCCTCCTCCTTCTCTCACCTGCCAGGGGATGCCGCCGAACACGAGGAGGAGGCAGTAGTCGAGGTAGACCCCGTACTGCTCGGAAGGAACCGTGCCGATCCAGTCGTCCTCCATGTTCATGACGTCACCGACAGCGCTGTGGTTCCAGGCGAAGGGAATGCACAGCCACTGGAAAGCAGGGGGGGCGTCGGTTTACTAAGGGGGGGTCGGGGAGGTGGGCGGGTGGGCGGGTGTGTGTGGGCGGGTGACGGGTGTTGGGTGTTGAGTGGAAATTTGGTATGTAACAGGGACTGGGTTCGTACTGTGGGTATGTGTGTGTGTTTGTGTGAACATACATACATATATATATATATATATATATATATATATATATATATTATATATATATATATATATATATATATATATATATATACATATTTGTGTGTGTGTGTATTTGGGGAAATAAGAGAAATATATATGTATATATCCAGTTTAAGTGTTTATATCCACATATAGATTTTCATGTATCGACACATAAGTGACACGCAGCTGGAATCACCAACTGCCTCCTGAACAAAATAACATAATTACCTCGAAAATGCCGTTCCTCTAGAACCTCCGAACTAATGGACAATGTACAAAAATACCTACAGTGCGTGCGTGCTAGTCTCTCCCATGCAGCTGTGGCTCTGGTACTTGGAACACTTAGAATACTGATCGGAAATACCTGTAAGTCCGTGTATTTCTGGAGCACCTGGAAAAGACTGCAGAGGTTCTTGTTTTTTTTTTTTTTTTTTTTTCTTTCTTTCTTTTTGTTTTTTGCTTTTTTTATTTATTTCTTTTTGTTTTTTTGCTTTTTTTTTTTATTTTTTTTTTTTTGCTTTTTTCTTTATTTCTTTTTTTTTTTGTTTTTTTTTTTTTTCCTTTTTTTTGTGTTTTTTTTTTCTTCTTTTTTTTTTTTGCTTTTTTTCTTTCTTTTTGTTTTTCCTTTTTTTCTTTCTTTCTTTTTTTGAGGGGTAAGCCAATTCTTTCTTCTTCTTTTTTCTTTCTTTCTTTTTTTTGTTTTGTTTTTTGTTTTTTTCTTTTTTTTTTTTTAGAGGTAAGTAAAAAAAAAAAATCTTTTTTTTCTCTCTTTCTTTTTTGAGTCAAGTCATATTTTTTCCTTCTTTTTTGAGAGGTAGGTCAATGCTTTCTTTTTTTCGTCTTTTTTTTTTTTTTTTTTTTTTGGGGGGGGGGGGGTAAGTCAATTCTGATTCGAAGAAGAACATGAAGGAATGAGATGAATGAGTGATGAGCCAACCCCGTGATTGTCTTTAGTCCTTGACCAATTCTTTCGCCTTCTAAGTCCTGTTCCTACTTTCCCCCCCATGTCCCTTCCTCCCTCTGACACCCTCCCCCACACCCCCTACTCCCCCCATTAACTCTCCCTCTCTCCCTCTGAACCCCCCCCCTAACTACCTTTACCTTCCTAAACCCCCCCCCCCCGCTTAACTCCCTCTGACCCCACTAACTCCCTCTGACCCCAATAACTCCCTCTCCCTGGGCCCCTCCCAATCCCCTGTCCCCTTCCACTCCTGCCTCTCTCCCTACCTCCCCCTCCACCCCCCCTCCCCTCTCAATCGCCTCTGACCCACTTAGCTCCATTCCCTTGATCCTCCCCCCCCCCCTTCCACCCCCACATCCTCTGATCCCTCCCCCCCCCATCCTTCTCCTTCCACCCCACAACCCCACACCCCTCTCCTTCTCTCCACCCCTCAATCCCCCATCCACCTTCCATCCCACACCATTCACACCCCATCCCTCCCCACCCCTCAACCCCCCCCTTCTCTCCCTCCACCCACACCCCTCAAACCCCCCTTCTCTCCCCCTCCCCACACCCTTCAACCCCCCCCCATCCACCCTCACCCCATCCACCCTCCAACCCTCAGACCCCCCTACCTCCCTCCACCCCACATAGCCCACATACCCCACCCTCCTTCCACCTCCACCCCCCACTTCCTCAGACAGATATAAAAAACAAACAAACACCCACCAAGTAGCTGTCCAGTCAGGAGTGACGTAGGGCGCATGACTTCTCCCGGAGGAACAGTCAGTGACAGAGTGACTGACAGGTTGACAGGTTCCTAGACAGTCACCACGGGTTCCGCCATTGATTAGGGGTAACTGTTATTTTCTTTTTTTTTTTTTTTTTCTTTTTTTTTCTTTCTTTTCTTTTTTTTCTTTTTTTCTTCTCTTTCTTTCTGTCTTTTCTTCTTTTTTCTTTTCTTTTTTTTTCTTTTCTTTTTTCTTTCTTTTCTTTTTCTTTCTTTTTTTTCTTGTTTTTTTTTCTTTCTTTTTTCTTTTCTTTTTTTCTTTTTTTTTTCTTTTTTCTTTTCTTTTTTTCTTTTTCTTTTTTTTTTTCTTCTTTCTTCTTTTTTTTCTTTTTTTTTGGAAGTTAAAGGTCCGTCTGTCTGCGTGGTCTGGAGGTGGGATTCGGCGTGATTAGGTAATGATTGGTGATTCGATGACGATTCGTGACTGAGTGTCTACAGGTGTTTTTTTTTTTTTTTTTTTTTGTTTTTTTTTTTAATCTAAGAATCCTTTTTCTTTCGGTTGTCCTTTGTCTTTTTTTTTTCTCTTTTCCTCTCTCTCTTCTTTCTTCTCTCTCTCTCTCTCTCTCTCTCTCTTCTCTCTCTCTCTCTCTCTCTCTCTCTCTCTCTCTCTCTCTCTCTCTCTCTCTCTCTCTCTCTCTCTCTCTCGCTCTCGCTCTCGCTCTCGCTCTCCCTCTCCCTCTCTCTCTCTCTCTCTTTATTTCTTTTTTCTCTCTCCCTCTCCCTCTTCCTCCCCTCTCCACCCTTTCCAAACCCCCACCCCTCCTACTTCCTCCCCCCCCACCCTCTCACCCCCACCTCTCCCCCCCCTCCCTTCCCTCCTCCCCCCCTCTCCACCCCTTCCCCTCTCACACCCATGACCCCCCCCCACCCCACACCCCACCCCACCCCACCTCCCCCACCTCCCCGACGAGCGTGAGTAGAAATATCGATTGACTCCACGCTAGTGAATTATTAAGAGAACGCAATTGATCGGACAGTGAGGTATGTTCCTCTGCTATTTACTAGTCACACCTGTCGGGAGAGGGTGGGAGAGGAGGAGAGAGGGGGTGGGGGGAAGGAATGAGATGGGGGACGAGAGGGAGGAAAGAGGGGTAAGTAGGATAAGGGGGGGAGGAATGGAGGGGGGGGAGAGGGAGGAAAGAGGGGGAGAGGGGTGTGGGGGGGAGGAATGATAGGGGGGAGAGGAGGAGAGTGGGGGCGGGCGTGGGGGGAAGAAATAGAGGGGGTAGGGGGGGAAAGAGGGTAAGTAGGATAAGGGGGGGAGAGGGGGTGGGGGGGAAGGAATGAGAGGGGGGTAGGGATGGAAAGAGGGGGGGAGAATGAGAGGGGGCAGGGAGGAAAGAGGGGTAAGTAGGATAAGGGGGTAGAGAGGAAAGACGCGGGTAAGTAGTGTAAGAGGGGAGGGAGAGGGGAGATGAGGGTGTAAGAGCTTGGGGGAAGGGGGGAGGGAGGAGTGGGTAGGAGAGGTGGGGAAGGGGGGGAGGAAGGAGGAGGGAGAAAAGGGAGGAGAGATGGATGGGTAGTATGAGGGATGAGGGGCATGGAGGAGGTAAGAGGGGAGGAGAGGGGGTGAGGGGTGTAAGAGCTTGGGGAAGGGAGGAAGGAGGAGGTAGGTAGAAAAGGGAGGGAGAGATAGATGGGTAGTATGAGGCATGAGGGACATGGAGGAGGAGGGTAGGAGAAGGGGGAGAGGGTGAGGGGTGTAATGGGTAGGGGGGGGGTAGGGAGTAGGGAGGAGGAGACAAGAGGAGGACCCAAGTATAGGGGACCCGAATGTGGGGGGGGGGCGTTAAGGGGAGGGGGGGAGAGGGTATGAGCACCCGGAAGAACGACTCGAGTTTTTTTTATGGAATGAAATAGAAGAACAAGCCAAAGCTGATAGAACTTAGAAAGAATTATCGACCCTTTTCCTCTTACTTCGCTGCCTCCTCCACTTCTCGTTCTCTCCCTCCTTTTCATTCTTCCTCTTGCGTGTCCTCTTTCTCCTCCTCATTCTCCAGCCTCATCCTTTATCCTTTCTCTCCTTCCCACTCAACCTCTATTTCCATTCTTCTTCTAATTCTCTCTCTTCACTTCCATCCACTTATCTTTCCCCGTCCTACTTACCT